CTATTTCTAATGAACAGTATAAAATAAAAGGTGATTTGAGTGTTAAACCACATTTAACAATCTTAAATATGTTGAACAAAGTCTATTAGTAGCAGTAATATACTACAAAATTTCATCTAGGCTATGCAACATGAGAAGTAGTTAAAGGTTTTAATAAAAGTGTAAATGTGGTGCTTCGTATTAAGTTAATAATTTACCATTTTATCATTACATAATCAATTTTTATATAATAATTAAATACTTTTTACTACCATTATTTTTTAAAACTTATAAGTTAATTCTCTTGATGCTTGTTCTAGTCGTAAGCTGTGGGAGAGACTACGAAGTGTAGAAAAGACCCCTGCACGTCAGTTCCAGTGGGAACAATCCCAGTCATGTCAACAGCTACTACGTTCTCTGAATGTTGACACCAGGAACATAGTAGGTTTGCAGCAAACCCATTTGATGTCTTATAAATTTCATAGGGCTGTTTTTTCTTTCCAACACATCTTTCCTTTCTTGTTCTTTCATCAGTTATACTCGATTATCAATTACTAAGTACTTACAAAATAAATATATTTCCTTCTTTCTTAATGCATAGGACTGACAGTGGTAAATAAACTTTAAAAGTAAATAGTCTGTGTTTGTAGTTTTCTTGAGTTAATTACTTATATGATGACCACCTACATTTTGACAAGCTTACATATTTGTATAATGTACTTCAAGATCCTATTTGAAACAAGATAGTTTTAAATCAGTTGATTTTCATTTGTGACATCTGTTTTTTGTTTTTTTTTTTATCTTTTGGATTCTTTTGCTTTTGTTCACATACTAACATAGTATTGTGTTTATATATAGATGTAAATCTACAAGGTCAGCATTTTGAAACACAATGTCCTGACTATGTTGTCATGTACAACGTTTATAACACAAGTATTAAATATGTGTTATATACATAAAAAAAATTTAATATTACAATAGTCTATTTATTGAGAATTGCTTAATTCCAAAATGATAAACAGATTTACAGTTTTTTTACAGAGAACATAAAAATATTTAGCATGTTAAAAATTAAACATTTTAAACTTAACTAAGACAGTAAGTACGTGCAGTGTGTGCCCACCAGAGGCTCAGCAATAAGTCTAAAGGCTTATCACACTAAAAACTGATGGGCACAGCAGTGTGTATTTAATTTTAGTATTTTGGTGAACAAACAGTTTAGTTTCAGCTCTTTATGGTAATAAACAAAAGGTGATATTAGGTATAAATTATAACTTTGTAGTGTAAGATATATAAAAAAAGCTAAGAAAGATAAAAGTAACAACATAAAGTGTTAAAAATATGTTGAACAAAGTACTTGTAATGTGTGTGTGTGTGTGTGTGTGTATATATATATATATATGTATATATATATATACATACATACCCTACATGCAAGACATGTAGGTACTGCATCCGAACTTTAATAGCTGTAAAATTTATTTTTGTATTATTTTAATCACTTTATTTTACGATGAATTCTGTTTATAAACAATTTAAATAAGAATTACCTCTTAGAAGTATGGAATGGTATAGAGTTACTTATATTTACATTTCATAACCGTTTGTTGACTTCAAATGTTGACTTTTATATGGAGAAACTAGGCACGTATGACCTTGTTAAGAAAAAAGCCAGTTTTATGTTAGGCGGTTTAAAAGAAATGCAAGTGTGAAATGAGGAGAAAATATATGTGCATCACGAATAAATTAAACTATAAACCTACTTGTTGAGATGAGAATGCATGTGCTTATGAATATGTAAAACCATAAACCATTTGTATGAAAACAACCCTGTTTTACTATATCATTTTATTTTCAGTTATGCAATCCTTCAGTTTCTCTATCTATGTCGGGTCTTGGCCTTCTGGAGCTCCCTAGAAGGCCAGCATTAATTAATAGGTATGACCAAAACTCGCCTCCAGCAGAGCCATTAGACTTGGCAGAAAGAAATTCTGGAGTATGCAGTGGCTTTCAAAGTTTCTAGGTTGTTATTTTTTGTAGAATTTTAAGAATCAAAGAAAATGAATGATTAAAAACTCACTAAATAATTTAGCACATTTTTATAAATCTCTGTTTGTTTTGGAAAATCTTTATTTTTTTGGTTTTCATTATTTAAAAATTTCCTGTTTGACAGAGAAACCTCTGTAAGTAACTATGTGCTTTACCGTGCTATACCTATATTTTTCCGAGATCTTTTGAACTGTCATTCTAAGTTGTAATAACATTTCTTTAGTATGGTAGGTGCCCTATCTGATCACCAAGCTTTCTACATTTTCAAGATTGTAAGAATTTGTATAGATTCTTAAATTTTGTTTTTATTTAAACATGTTTTATAAACAGGATATAATACAAATATAAAATTACCTTTTCAAACTGCTGAGACTTCTTACGGTCTGGAGTTCATCATAACCACGTATTAAAAATCTGTATTGAGTCAGTTGCATCATATATTAACCTTTGTTTCATCAGCTCCTAAGTCCTGGTGGTTAGTGCACTCATGCAATCTGTGAGTCATGGGTTCAAATCTCCATCACCATATTAAAAATCTGTATTGAGTCAGTTGCATCATATATTAACCTTTGTTTCATCAGCTCCTAAGTCCTGGTGGTTAGTGCACTCATGCAATCTGTGAGTCATGGGTTCAAATCTCCATCACCAAACGTGCTTACCCTTTCAGCCATGGGGTGTTATAATATTACAGTCAATCTCACTATTCATTGGTAAAAGAGTTGACTGAGTGGTGTTGAACTAACTACCTTCCCTGTGGTCTGTCACTGATAAATTAGGTACAGCGTCCATAGATAGCTCTCTAGTAGGTTTGTACAAAATTCATAAAGAACAAACAAACAAAATCAGCTCTTAATATTTGTTCAGTATGACTGGATGACAAGTGGGCTTGTTAATCTACAAGGTCACGTAGACTCAAAAAAAACAAGTAACTCTGTAATCCATGACAAAAAGGACAAAATCAACTTTTTGTTTCTAGCTAAATACAAATGGAAAAGGTGTGTTGTATAAACATTCTACACATTTTCAACCACTAGATTATCGATTGGTTTCCCCCTGTCCTGTTAGAAATCTAACTAAATCTGCTATCAAAATATCGAGAGGTCCTCTTAAGATCCTGATTAGAATATTGGCACAATATTGTTCATATAAATATATTTTAAAGGCATACCTAGGAAAGCTTTTACTCTTTTTTTTCCCTACCCTTTTAAATTATAAATATAACATTAGCCAGAAAATACAATCCTACAGATCCCAATAATGTGCTTCTTCTTTAGTAAGGCATGGCTTGATTTTCACAATGCTGGACTGTGAATCCAAGGGTCCATGGTTTTCATGACATTGCTACAAAAAGTACACTTCATACTTTATTAGTGGCAATCAAATCTCAATTTGTGATTAGAGTTGACAGTAAATGTTGTTGACTAGCTGCCTTCCAGGGTTATACTGATATGTTGTGGTTCCCACAAGCAGTATACGTACTGAGTTAAAACAATTCAAATATTTATTTTGGTAAATAAGTTGGTTGTAAAAAAAATTAGAAAATGTTAATTGTATAAATTTTTCTCCCTTCCTGGGATTAATGTCCGTCAAGGAACACGTATCAAGAACACTACTTGACAATACCTGCTGGAATCCCTATCTAAACATGGGATGGTGGTGATTAGAAAATCACTGGTGAAATATTATACTTTCATTTAAAAAAATCAGCACTAAATCTATGACAACAAATATTTTACAAGGAGTAAAGCTCTTTACCTTATTCATTTGTATTATTGATGGTGGCCATTTGTCATTTTAAATACAATATTATATTGCCAACTTTATATTAGAAATGCTAAAGAAGACCATGAAATATTTCTTCAAATTCATGAAAATATTCTGGAATTATTCTTGATTTTATTCTGCTGAAAGTGTGGGAACCCTGAAAACTGTAAAGTTGAAAACAATACCGTGAAGACTAATTCCGCAAAAACGAGATATGTACTTTCTTGCCCGTTCAAGCAAAAGTTACTTGTCACATTGTGACCGTGTTCCAGTGACGTCGATTTTTTTTTTTACTTTGGTAAACTTGTGCCACACCAAGTTCTGTTTATAGCTTCAAAAACCATGAAAGGTTTTGTCATACATATTTTATACCAAACAAAACTTGTAATTTTGTTTGAGGGTATTTTTATTAGACTTGTGAAATTTTTAAATGATGCTTGTATTTAAATCTCCAGACAGTAAAGGTGGTGTTATAATATGATGATCAATCCCACTATTTGTCAGTAAAGGGGTAGCCCAAGAGTTGATGATGGGTGGTGTTTACTAGCTGCCTTCCCTTTAAGAATGATTAGTGCAGCTAGTCCTCAAGAAGCTTTTCACAAAATTCATTAAAATGAACATCAAATAAATCCACTGGTAACATTTTGTCTTATAACATCAAACCTAAAAGCTACGCCTGTAAAACTTTTAAGTAAGAATACATTACAATATTACTTTAATGAATATGATATATTAAAAATATTAACGTAATCACATCAGTCTTCGAAGACATTACTTTGTTGTTAAAGATTTTTCCATTGCTATTTAGTTGTAGAATATCAGTTTTAATGTACCAGAACTGACTTACCTCTCTATTCAGTAATGATTGACTATTGTTCACTATAAATCCTTAAAACCTTTACAAGAAAGAAATAAAGCCTTATTTTTGAAGATATAAATTTAGTGGGAAAAATTTGTTGAACTAGGAATGTATGTAAAATTAATAAAATCTACCTTCGGTTAGTGAATAGTTAATCAGTTTATCTAGTGTGTATACAGACTACTTGTTGGTAGTGCTTGGCTAAGCTACCCATCTGTTGTTATGCTTATGTTAAGTTAATATATCTTCCATTGTAAGGATAATTATATGATGTTCCTAACTCTTTCATTGTTGTCCTCTGATAAATTTCAGATTTTTTTTTTTATTCCTGTAAACTCCCAGTGGAGCATAGGGCCATAACAACACCTCACCAACAGAAAGTTGTTGTTGCAGTTACTTGTAGCAGGTTGGTTTTTATGGGGTGGAGTTGCTAGCCCCTCACCCAACCCTCCTCCTTTCTCATCCTGGACTTGGGACCAGGCAAAGGCAGAGGTGGGCATGTTTGGTGTGAC